GGGGGGGGGTCTTTATTTTTGTATTTATGAAATAAAAATATACTAAATATCTATCAGTTCCTACATTCGTTTATTTTTTTAACTACAAAAAGACTCTGACGAACACAAGCTCAGCACTTCCTTTTTAAACCCCCACAAAGCACAATCGCACCCAAATAACAGACTTTTGTTTTTGTCTTCCCAGAATGTGTCTTTCTGTGCTTTCCCCGCCAGTCTTGGCTTCAGAGAAGACGGTGTGTCTTCCAGGTGAACAACAGGGAGAGCCACAGATATGCTGCTGCTGGTAACGTGAGCGACTCTGTGCAACTCTGTGAAAACACCCAGTGCTGTTTGGCCATTTACCAGATAATCAACAAGCAGCAGAAGGTTGACACTCTCGGTGAGAATGGATCTGAACCCCCTATAGTGATGAGCAGAAACGAGTTTTTAAATGTCTCAGTTTAAACCTTTAGAGCCAGTCAAGTGTGTTTTATAAAGCATTATAAATGATATGCCTTTCGTTTGTTTTGTGTTTTAAATTTTATGGGGTGTGTGTTTTAGCTTGTGACATGGTAGAAAAGTCTTGCCCAGACGAAACCTGCAAGGCCACATCACGCATCAGTAATCGCTTCATCATGTGTGTGTGCAGCACAGATCTGTGCAACAGCAATGTTACATTGACCCCAGCAGCTGGACATCCTCTGCACACCCACTCCTCCTCTGCAGGTACGTTAGAAAGAGCCAGCTGGGGAACACTAATGACCTTCTTTATTGTTAACCTTGAAATTTGTCAACGTTGGTTCAGTGTCTCCTTTAACTCCTCTATTGTTTAACTCCTCTGTGTCCTTTATTTTTAGTTGAAATCACAAGAACAGCCATGGTTGTGATTCTGTCCATATTTGGTTTCGTTATTATTGCTATAAAATGGAGAAGACTTTGTAAAGAGAAAGGTAAGACTTTTTTTGTATTCTTTAACATTAAAGAAGTCTAATTCAGTGGATTAAGTCCTAATTTACAAAAACAATGTCTCTTACAAATGTGGTTCTCTTATTCTTGCAGTGGACACTGCTCTTTCGTTTGTAATTTAGCCAGGAGACACAGAACCAGGCAACGGTAGCTGCTCCAACCAACATGGTGGAGCTGAGACCTCAACATCTGGAGGGATCTTTTTTTTTTTTTATTCATTCAACCTTTATTTATACAGGTCAATCCCGTTGAGCCTCGGGGACTCATTTACAAGAGAGACCTGAGTTTAAAAAAGAGTGATGACAACAGTGGACACCAAAGACAACTATAGACAATCATAAAGGATGCGTACAAATTGAAATAAAAATAAAAAAATTAAACACACAAAGACAAATTATAAAGTCTTTCTAAGGGATTCTAACTACATGTGGTTAAAATTAGTGTCTCACTGCAGGAATAGTTTCAAATACATAGTATTTTGTGTATAATATATAAGATATATAATTTTTTTTTTTAATTCACTTTAATAATTCCTATAAAGCAGTGAGTGAAAATACGAGTATATTTTTGACAGACAGTACAATTTCTGTAAACATTATAGTTTTGTTGACCATTCATGTAATATTGGAGAAAGGTTTCCAAAGAAACAAAAATTATAATTGAGGGGATAAAAAGCAAAAACAAAATAAACACTTGTCACAAAGTATATATTTTTTTCTTCACTGCAGTGCAAAACAAAATACAGACAAACATTTAAACATCAAGGCTGAACATGTTCAGATGGAAAAGGTGTGACATACATGGGATGTTTCAGAAATAAAGTTGTGTGGCAGTTAATTAAAGATCACCCGTCTCCTTTCAGGTGAAAAATGTAAACTAAACTCATCTAAGGATGAGAAAGCACCATTAGAGCTGTTTTGGTCAAACCTTATCAGGGTTTAAAAAGATGCAAAAATACAATTTTGGTGCTAAGTTTTAAACTCTGATTCAGAAATTTTGATTTTAATGTGTGTTTCCTAAAGCTTCATGTCTCTTTCAGCTCATGCTAACTTGTTGCATATTTTCTTATAGCCATATTAAATGTGATCAGACTGCTAAATATTTATTCGCATAATTGTCCTTCATTTCTCTCTTGTTCCTCAGCCAAGATGGAGAACCAGAATGAAGGTGTGTTTTCGGTCAAATGCAGTCTTTATAAGGTCATACCAAAACTGCTCACATAAATTTTGAGAACCTTTTGAAACACTTTTTCACTGAACAAGATACTATTGGCTCAGTGTCAGATACTTTGTTCAAATTACTCTTAAGACCAAATCCATCAATGAACATAATACTTTTAAAACATTTCACATTAGTCAGAAAGTGAGTTTTACATCCTGATAGTGTACTATTGTATTTGTTTGAGCTTAACAGTTGATCACACAAATGTATTGCCAGTTTTAAATAAAATGATTGGATTATGTGGGATTAAGTTTGATGTTTTAATTCAGAGGAGAATCTACAGTCTTCCGGTACAGATTACAGCATCCAGCAATCATGTTCGTGTCAAACAAAACCATCAGAAAACAACATCACTGACATTGAACTGCAGGAGGTAAACCCAGAGATTGAACAGATTAAAATTTCACCAGCTCATCTTCACCACAGTACTGTAGTACTTGGTTCTGATAGCGTTTTGTGTATTTGCTCCGCAGGTTGTGGGCCGAGGACGGTTTGCGGCTGTTTTTCAAGGGAGGTACAACAAATCGACAGTGGCTGTGAAGGTGTACCCTGCAGGCTGGAAACACAAGTTCACCACAGAGAAGGAGATTTATGAGCTTCCTCTGATGAAGCACAGTGGGATTGTTCAGTTCTTGGGCACTGGGAGGAAACCAGATGATGGCAGCTTGATAATTGTGCTGCAGTATGCTGAATATGTAAGAGAAAATCATCTTTTAAGTGTTGCGATGATAAATTTAGAGCAGAACTGAAAGACTGTGAGCTGACTTGCTCGTGAATTTCTGTCAAACAGCAAAAAGCAAATAAATCAAAATAAACCAAAAAAAATGTAATTCATTCATTTAGTCAACCTTTATTTATACAGGTTAGTCTTAATGAGTTGCGAGGACTCATTTAGGGACCTGTTTTAAACAAAGAACACATATGAGGTGCAGACAACAATAAACAATCATATAAAAGCATATAAAATGAAATCACCCTTCTTCAGGGGTGACCACAGGGAACTAACGTGTACAAAGACTTGGCAATTATTTTTACGCCGGATGCCTGATGTAACCACAGACCACCAAGCTACTGCAGCCCTCTGTGTGGAGCAGAGAGCTGCTATCTGGGGCGCCCAGAGTGGCAAAAGAATGGGGCAAATGAGGGTGGAGGCAGGTGTGGGTGCTTCACCTATCCCATCCACATTTTGATGTTGTCGGTACCGGGAGTTGAACCAGCAATCTTCTGCCCACTTCTCTAACCTCTGCACCACCACTCTCTGAAACAAAAACTCTATAAACAATAATAATAAAACCAGGTATTGATAATTAAAGACCCAAAGCAAAAGTTATGTTATGTAGTAGTCACTATACGTAATGAATGTGTACACAAACAGTTACAGAATATATCTTCAGGCCCTAATAGAAACTCCAAACCATTTTGGTCATACCCTGAAAAAGTGTAGCGTATTTGTGGTAAATGATTGTCAGCTACTACCACAACAAATTTTAGCTCAATATATGTAAAACTGACTGAGTTGTAGCCATTTTTGTGTCAGATAAAAGTTGAGCTGTGGCAGACATTTAATATAGGATTGACAACAAAGGTTACTTAATTAGGTGTAGAAGTACAGGTGCTGGTCATAAAATTAGAATATCATGAAAAAGTTCATTTATTTTAGTAATTCCATTCTTAAAGTGAGACTCGTATATTAAATTTGTCCATTAGACACAGACTGATATATTTCAAATGTTTATTTCTTTTAATGGTGATAATTATAACAGACAACTAATGAAAGCCCCAAAATTCATTATCTCAGAAAATTAGAATATTGTGAAAAGGTTCAGTATTGAAGACACCTGGTGCCACACTCTAAGCAGCTAATTAACTTAAAACACTTGCAAAGGCCTTTAAATGGTCTCTCAGTCTAGCTCTGTAGGCTACACAATCATGGAGAAGACTGCTGACATGACAGTTGTCCAAAATACGACCATTGAAACCTTGCACAAGGAGGGCAAGACACAAAAGGTCATTACTAAAGAGGCTGGCTGTTCACAGAGCTCTGTGTCCAAGCACATTAACAGCGAGACGAAGGGAAGGAGACGATGTGGTAGAAAAAAAGTGTACAAGCAAAAGAGATAACCACATCCTGGAGAGGATTGTGAAACAAAACCCATTCCAAAATGTGGGGGAGAGTCACAAAGAGTGGACTGCAGCTGGAGTCAGTGCTTCAAGAACCACCACGCTCAGATGTATGCAAGACAAGAGGTTCAGCTGTCACATTCCTTGTGTCAAGCCACTCTTGAACAAAAAACAGTGTCAGAAGCGTCTTGCCTGGGACTGCTGCTGAGTGGTCCAAAGTTATGTTCTCTGATGAAAGTAAATTTTGCATTTCCTTTGGAAATCAAGGTCCCAGAGTCTGGAGGAAGAGGAGAGGCACATAATCCACGTTGCTTGAAGTCCAGTGTTAAGTTGCCAGAGTCAGTGATGGTTTGGGGTTCCATGTTATCAGCTGGTGTTGGTCCTCTGTGTTTTCTGAGGTCCAAGGTCAATGCAGCTGTCTACCAGGAAGTTTTACAGCACTTCATGCTTCTTGCTACTGACCAACTTTATGGAAATGCAGATTTCATTTTACAACAGGACTTGTCACCTGCACACAGTGCCAAAGTTACCAGTACATGGTTAAAGGACCATGGTATCCTTGTTCTTAACTGGCAAGTAAACTCGCCTGACCTTAACCTCATAAAAAATGTATGAGGTATTGTGAAGAGGAAGATGCGATATGTCAGACCCAACAATTCAGAAGAGCTGAAAGCTACTATCAGAGCAACCTGGGCTCTCATAACACCTGAGCAGTGCCACAGACTGATCCACTCCATGCCACGCCGCATTGTTGCAATAATCCAGGCAAAAGGAGTGTTTTACGTGCTCATACTTTTCATGTTCATACTTTTCAGTTGACCAACATTTCTAAAAATCCTTTATTTTTATTGGTCTTAAGTAATATTCTAATTTTCTGAGATACTGAATTTGGGGTTTTCATTAGTTGTCAGTTATAATCATCAACATTTAAAAAAGAAACATTTGAAATATATCAGTCTGTGTGTAATGAATGACTATAACATACAAGTTTCACTTTTGGAATAGAATTACTGAAATAAATCAACTTTTTCATGATATTCTAATTTTATGACCAGCACCTGTACATTTAAAGTCAATTTTCAAAACGTTTAATTAAAATCAGTTTAATGGTTCACTACATATTTTGCTGACAGATAAAACTTGCATACACACGAGCAATAACTGCCTGCTTTACACGTCACTGAACGGTTTATACTACACAAGTCCTTTCTCTGATATTTTGCCACTTCACTTAATTTTGATTAAATTAATCTGGTAAAATTGTTACTTTTCAAACAAGTTAGTGAAGCAAAAAAAGGTTGAATCATGTCATCTGGACTTCGTTTTTTGTTAAAAAGAAACGTTTCGCCCCTCAACCAAGAGGCTTCGTCAGTCTGAGGCCTAGCCATCTGGTATTACCCAGAAGCCACCCTGACTCTTGTG